CGGAAATCTGGTAGACAGKTTTCATAAGACCAAGGGATGGCTGGGTGAACGTTCAAAAAGAGTTCRTATCTAAGGTCAGAAAGGAGCATGAATTATGTTTCGGTATAGAGCAGCCTGATCCTAAGATGAATGTTAAAGAATGCTGACACCATCTGTAAATCATTAGATGGAGGAACACCAGGAAAGAGAGAGGTACACAGAAAGGACCTCCAGTAGGAAGCAAAAGAGACTGTATAAGATTGAAAGATTCTTCAAAGGAACAAGAAGTTCTTTCCTGATCTCTTCACTCTAGTATCCAAGGCTATTATTATCCAAGGCTATGTGATTATTTTTCTGTCCTTTCTCTCTAGTTCTTGTTCACTGCTCTTCCTGCTTTTCTTAAAGGCAGGTCAGCCTCTCCAAAGCTAAGCAGGGAAGATGCTGTGATAAGGAGCTTTGATTCAGCACCACAACACAGAAATGGGTGAAGAGCAATCAAGGATGGAGGCACTGAATCTCATCTTGTCATGCTCTTTGCCTATCTGTGGCTGCAAACGCATGGAATATCTGTGAAACATCTGGTTTCTCCATTCCACCATTCATGCTGTAACAGGATGTGGGACATTTGGATGGGCATGGAGGTTATCACGGTGCTTTCTTCACTATTAGCCCTGTGTTTACTCTTCTGAAGGTTATGGGTTTGGAGATAGAAGGTGGAAAGGAGGTCAGGGATTAGAAATCTAGCTAAGTCATGAGTCAGTGCAATTTCCAAGTTCCTGGTATCTGAGAACTAGCTCTGCCCCAACTGTGTCCTAGATATGCAGATAGACACATAAAAGTTTAACAGTGAATTAATCAGGGCAAATCCTTGCCTTGTAAACCTACTTTTGTGAGTATGTGTAAATGGTCCAAAGAAAAAATATGTGTGATATTGATTATGTATGTCCTTTTATATATCCTTATAACTATGTATTAGTGTTTTAGTGATTTCAGGTCCTCTTGACCTTGAAGGATCCATTTGCTTCATACTAAATGAAACAGAGTATATTTTTGTGTACAGTAAGGATGACACTATRCTGCACGTACACTTATGATGTCATGACATTTTAATGTTAAGTTCTAGTATGAATTTACTTTATAAATAAATGTATAAATGTAGTTTGTGCATGACTGAATAATAATATATGAAACCTATCTCTAATGGGCCTGATTCTTGGCTGGGGGCTCTGGGTTCTGTACAAGTGCTAAAAATAATAATTCACTTTTATTCCAGAAGCCACAGTACTACAACCAAGATGTCATACACACATGGCAGACAGATAAGACAGATAGAATACTTGTTTTCCACTGAGATGACTTTGAATACGCCCTGGCAAGGCTGACTCACCCTTTTAGCTTTCCAAGGAAGATAAATTGCTTTCCAGGAGCTTCACGGTGTACAGGTTATTTTTGAGCAGCTTCCTTAATTAAGGTTTATCTGCTGCATGTGTAATCCACAGATGAAGAGCCCTTGTCTCTTCTGATGAGAACAGAAGTTTTTCCCTGAACAATCTGTTTCTCACCCAACCCATTGTTATACAATATACATACTAGCTGAATATTGTGTCCTAGCCCAGAAGTAGCTGCAGGCCAGTAGCCTGAAAATATGTCATTTCAGGTGTCCAGGATGCTTCAAGCAGAGGGAGACTGAATAGAAATGGAATTTCTGAATGGCACTAAAAGCAACCTGAGTTGACACCAACTGTTACTACCTTTCCTTCAGCCATGACCTTAAGCCCTACCGCTACATCGGCCTCACATTTCATATCTTTTGTATCTGAAGGAATGCTGAAAGCGCCCTGTCAGAAATACAGTTTGCAATTTTCATCCTTATGAACTGGCAAGGACTCAAAATGATGTCATGCCGACTGGGATAAGAGGACAATGATGTCATCCCTGTAGCAAARGACCCTCTTAGCCTTGCAAATGCAGTAGGTGAAGGTGAGAGCATCCATGGAGCAAAACAGAGAGGCAGGCCGATCCTGCAGTGCACTGCAGTCACACTCACCAGGAGTCTGTCTGTCAGAAAAGCAGGAGAACTGACTCTGGGACTTGTCCTGCCCTGGGCCTCCTGCTAGCAACAGGAAGGAGAGAAGCCCTTGCAGGGCTGCTGGTGAGCCCCAACCCTGGTGGGGAAAAAGTCATAGAGTCAAGATCACACTTCATAAAAGCTGTCCTAGTTGGTGAAGGATGGGATCTGCACTGCGTGTTTTGCATTTCCTAATTGTTTTGCAGTAATCAGAATATTCCTGCATCCTGGACTTTAAGGATCTTGTTGTTATATATAAGTTTTCTTTCCGGTCTCCCAACACTGAAGCTATCTGAAACTGGCCACAGACCTTAGGTATTTCTGTGGCACCTTTCTCTCAGTGTTATACAGTGCGARCGTATAGTTAGCGTATGTCCATGTTGCTGTAGCTTCAGTTTACTGCAGTCCTGCTCAGGCTCTCTGTAAGAGAGCTAGTCCAGGTATCCAGTGGTAATGTTGCCACAGCAACATAGGACTTAGCACAAACAGCAAAACTCGGAACAAGAGGAACAAGGAACAAGATAAACGAGCCTGTGCAGAGTCCATCTTACCCTATCTGGCTCACAGCTCTTCTTTGACTAATTTAAAGATACTTCTCATCTGTTTCTAACTCTATGTGGACCTGTGCTGAAACAATGCTGAAGACCTTATCCTAGACATTGAATAAATCAGGCTTAGAGTTTTCTATGCAGGCAGAAGAGCAGGTTATAAGCACATATATATATGCACATAAATGGTTACAACATGCTAATGTGTTCATCATTTCTGAATTTGTGAGTACCCTTTTTCAGGTACCAAATGTATGTATTATGTACAGGCTTTTGTGTGCTTGATGAAATGCTTTTATGTGAGTTAGGCTGCAAGGTTTTATGGAAAGGTAATTCTTTGTGGGGTATGATGCGCTCTAGGTGCGTTTGCTTGTGCAGGGGGGTTGAACTAGAGGTCCTTTCCAACTTCAACCATTCTGTGATTCCGTGATCTCTACATACTGCCATCACCTGCTGCCTGACAAGCTGACATTTACAGGAAAGCTCGCTTTCCATGCCACATTGTTTAAAGCACTTGGGAAGAGCGGATATAAATGTTCTGCTCTGCCCTTATGATAGGCATTTTCTCCCTTTGCATAGGCAGAAGCATGAAAATTCCTAATGCTGAATCTTATATGTTGGTTAATATCCATTCACAAGGTTTTTCACTCTGCCCCTGCAGAAGCATGGTGGCACCTGGTCTCACACYCAGACTTGTGTCCTGGTGTGTTCAGACCTGTCCTGCACAACTGTGCGGAGAAGCTGACTTCCTTGGAGATATGAGGCTGGCCTTTCCTTGGATATCAAGACCCTTGAGCTCACCTACTTACTTGAGAAAGAGAGAAGGAGGATTCGCTGTTGCTTAGCCTGTCCTTCAGTGTATGCAAGTGCTAGTGTGATCCTCTTTGTGTGCAGGTGCTGGGCAGGGAGTCCTGTGCTTGCAGAGAGCCTGGAGAGATGTGGTGGGTAGCAGCTCCGAAACGACGAAGCTGAGAGTTGCGTTCTCTTGTCCTGTTTGCTCACATGTGAATGCCTTGCTGTGTTTCGTGCCTGTGCTCATGCTCTACAATTGTCACTAGTATTTGCTCGCAGTGCATTACCCAGTGACTGCTTCTGAGGTGGCCAGTCTTTTCATCTTTGCAAGCGTCGTGATTCCAGTCCTATGCAAGAACACTGCAGTGGCTTCTTCTCTGTTATTACTGATGGACCTTCTTTTTGAGTGTATTTATCAATTGTGTCCTCTGCCCACCATTCTGATACTCGACTTAGCATCTCTCAGTAGCAGTGGCCTAAGAAGTGTTTTCCTCTTTGCACCCATGCTTGATATCTTTTTCAGCCAGCTCATTTTCTTTCTTTTGTGACCTGAGCCAGTGCCGGAAGCCAGCTGGAGCCAGCAAAGAGGCCAATCCCTCTGCTTTTTTGCGTGATTCCCATTGGAAGAGAATAATATCAATAGAAGACTGTCCTTTCCTCAATATGCAGCTGAGCTGGTACTGGCTCATGAGCTAGCAAATTATTGGGATGCAACATATTGGTTTCAGTGGGGGTTTACAAGCCAAGGACTTTCCCTCCTGTGGCAGGTCTGCAGAAAGCACAGGTTCTGTCATGGTCCTTTCTAAGACTTTAAGGGGTGGCTGAAGGCACACAAGCATGAGGAATGCCAGTTCTTTCTTACAAGGCTGAATTCCACTCAGTATTCAGAGAAATAACAATAATTGCTAAAATTAGAAAGACTGATATCTATCTGCCTATTATTCCTTCACTGAAGGTATGAGTGGAAGAGCAGAGGTAGTGCTGGAAGCGCCTGCAAACGGGGCATTTGAGAGGTGTCCATCACATGAATATCTGCATGTGTGACAGTGTGCATCTGCAGGGGAGCACGTAGCAGTGCTATTCTGTGTTGGCAATCCTGAGCCAAAAAGCTATAAAGGGCCCAATGCTCAATGCTGTTAGAGACACACACCTGTGAAGCATGGTGTCATTAAAAAGAAACAAAGAATTGAAGGCATAGGTGGGAKAGGGAGAGACTGTGAAAATAACCCAATGGAAATTGAAAATGGCAGGGGGAAAAAAAGATGGTACATTTAAGGACGGATGGGAATATAAATAGTGGGAATAAATAGAGACAACCCAGCTGGTCCAAGTCTTTACAAGCTGCTAATGTGCTCTCAGCATTGCTGACTGACATGATGAGGTGCTTTAAATTCTTTTTACCAAACCTCTCTGTCTGTCCAGCCCCATTACTTAATGACAGCCACCTGGTTTCAAACTCACACTAAATGGAAAGACTATTTCAAAATTTGCCTCCTGTTAGCAGGAGAGGAAGGTGAGACATTCCCAATAAAAACAGAGCTTGGGCTGTACCTGGAGAGCTCTTAACTCATCTCCCTGTTCTCCTTTTCTCTCCTCATTTGTTTTCTTCAAAGGTTGAAAAGAATGAGGATGGGGACCAAAAGATTGAGCAAGATGGCATCAAACCAGAAGATAAAGCTCATAAGGCAGCCACCAAAATCCAGGCCAGCTTCCGCGGACACATAACGAGGAAAAAGCTCAAGGGGGAGAAGAAGGGAGATGCCCCGGCCTCTGAGACGGAGACTGCGGACAAGAAGGAGGAAGGCCCTGCTGGCGGAGCCGCGGAGAACCAAGGGAGCGAGGCGCCCGCTGCCACAGAAGCTGCGACTGCTGACAGTGCCCAGGCGGAGGAGGGCAGCAAAGACAGCAACGCGCCCGCGGAGGAGAAAAAAGGGGATGGAGTCGCTGACACGGGCTCGGAGCAGCCAGCCCCACAGGCTGCCACTCCTGCTGCCTCCTCGGAGGAAAAGCCTGCTGCTGCTGCCGCCGAAACGGAAAGTGCCACTAAAGCTTCCACTGATAACTCGCCGTCCTTGAAGGCTGATGAAGCCCAAGACAAAGAGGAGCCTAAACAAGCCGACGTGCCTGCTGCTGACACCACTGCCACCACCACCCCTGCCGCAGAGGATGCTACTGCCAAGGCAACAGCGCAACCCCAAATGGAGACAGTGGAGAGCAGCCAAACCGAAGAGAAGACAGGTGAGTGAATGACAGGCCTTCATGTCTTCCCTTGGTCACCTGAGGGTGTCTCTGAGGTCGATCTGCAAGGGCAAGTGCAAGGATCAGAATGGGAATTAACAAGGTAACTCCCTTGCTGTGTTTTAGGGGAGGGAGGGATGCAAGTTGTTGCTTAGCATGCTCTCCTCTGCTTCCCAGAAGTTTTTGGAAATACTGCCCCTCCTCTGGAAGTTCACGTTCCTCACATGTTATCCAGCCCATTCTGCATGGTGACAGGAGAGCGTCAAGCTCACCAGATGATACTAAGTTGAACTGGAAATTTCATGAGGGAAAGAGTCTTTCATACTGCACACCATCCTTGCCGATGGGATGGTCAAGAAAGAGCTGCAAAGGCCTTTTCTTTTCCATCTGCCTGTGAATGGGTGATACTGTTCTTACAACCACAAGCTAGTAAGGAACATCTTGTTATCAGAATTATCTGTAGGCTCTTCTTAGAGTAGCAGATGACAACTGCATGTATCATTTGCATGAAGCTTTTAGACATGTGTCAGCTGGGTCAGACTTGCATGATAAGAGGATCAGGTAGGGAGAGGAAAGATTAAAGGCCCTGACAGCTCTGTGAATGAGGACAGAAGAGAAGACTGAATGCAAACAATCACTCCAGGAGGTGTTTTTAGTTCTTTGTTCTTGACTGAGCTGCAGCTCTGCATAGCTAGTTCCCCTGGAAGAGGTGGAAAGTTGGGAGAGGCAAAAGTGATACTCTTTGACAGTGGCAGTACTGCAAACTATAAAGAAGAGCTGTTACTGAACTGTAATGCTGGTCTGTGTAGAAAAAAAAAAAAAAAAGCATGAAAGACCTGAAAACACTTTTGCTCTTGCTCTTTTCCTTCTTTACATTATGAAAGATATACTACGTTTAAAAAAAAAAAAAAGAGGGGAAAAAAAACCCCATCTCATCAGAGGTGATCACCACCTAAAACTTTATCAAGCAGCAGTGCCAAGCTGGCCTMCACATGCGTGAGACTCTCAGGAGCAGACTGATATTCTTCATTCATTAGTTTGTTGGGGCAAAGCTTTGGAGTATTACCTTGATATTCCAAGATGATCCAAGCATCCTGATAGGAAGGTTAGTCCCTGCATGTAATTTTACACTTGTTGATGTTTCTCCTTCACACCATTTGGTCCACTGCTTCTCTTCTCCAAATAATAATTCCCACTGTCTTGTAGACTTCCAAGCTTTGTATCTAGATCAGGACTTCTGATCCCAGTTGTACTGTTTTAGAAAGAATTGTTAAGAACTGCGAGTAGTGCTCTCAAAGAACTGAGAGCAATGCTCACAAACACCATTGTGGTAGACCACGGGCTAAAGAGTTTGAACCTAAACTGAAAGCATACTAGAAAGGGATGCTTGTTTTACCTCCTTTCATTTAAACAYTTCTGGATTTAATGCTTAAACTTGTATCCTCTAAAGTGCCTTTTTGTGGTCCAGAACCCCATCCCTTTGTTCCTGTTTTGTATGATGAGTTGAGTGAAAAAAACAAATGTTAAGCTATGTGGGAGTGATTTGAGAAATTCAGTTTGATATGTTGCATGCTGTACCTGCCTGATTTGTTTATATATATATATATATGGGCAAAGATATATCAATGATAAATATAGAACATAGTGAATCAGTGTTTGGGGCCCTGTGTACAGAGAAAAGAATATTTGAATAACAAATGATAAATTCTTATTAAGATTTGGAGTGCCTTATTCATAAACAGGAATGGTGGTTCTGTTTTGAATTAATACACTATTTTTAGCAAGATTAATTTGTTGTAATGGATAGAGATAGGAAATGTATACGTGTGGCTATTTGCTTCATTTTACCTTTTTTCAGTCTTTAGTCATCAAATAATAATTTATATTCAGTGTTCTTAATTATTTGCAAATATCTTCTGCTTGCTTTTGTTGACCTTCATATTATTTGTAGTGAGAACATTAAAATTTAATATTCATTTGCATATTATACTGTAATTTCTGTAATTATCTAGCCAACAGCTTAAGTTGCAAAATCTACAATCAAATATATATTTAAAATGAGCTCTCAGTGACTGAATGTTCAAAACCAGCACGTGCTTCCATTCATACTCATTCAATATTCATCTAGTAATATTCAAGCTTCCAAAAATTGGCAGAAATCAAACATAGAAGGTTTGTGGCCACAGTCAAACAGGTTTTGTCTGTACAATGTTAATGAATACAGATTCCCCCTCCACCATCACCCTGAAACTCCTGTCACGGTGTGGTATCAGCCTTCTGTTCACAGATTTGAATGGCTCGGGAGGCAACCCTGAGCCATCCAAGGCAGAAGTGGAAAAAGGCCTCTCCTCCATCTCTCTAAGGATGATGAGTTGAGTTCTGCTATATATTCTATGGTACAATGTCCATAGTAATAATAAACTGTTTCATCTTTAAAGAATCTTCCACAAAAGAGCATCATCATCATATAAAATGTCTCACAGCCCAGACATTATTTCCAGATATAAAGCCTATGTTCTCTTCTTCCTAATCATCTTCCTATGATTTCCTCTCATCTCTTCAAAACCGTTTGTTCTTTCTTGGTACTCACTACCTCTGCAGGCTTAAAGGTATCTGCCGTGTCTTGCCCTTTCTCCCAGGCACCTCCTGACCCTCAGAAAGGACAACACTTATGGYTGCCAGCAGAGCTGAAGTGGTTTGGTCATCCACGAAAGAGGGAGGCCTACCGWACATCTGCCACTTCAGTGCTCCTCCAGTCTGGGCCCAGATCTGCTTTCAGCTCCATCAGTCCCCTTCTCCCAGAAGTCATCCCCTTGGCTTTCAAAGGTCATCTCTTACCGTTTCTGTGATCGAAGACTGGCACAGTAGTGTGCAGTGTCAGGCTGCCAAAAATAAATCAAATTGGCTCCTAGCCAGTGTCATCGGTTGGCGGTTTGCCATGGCATGCTTGGCTGCTACTACTGTGAGGCGTGCCGGCCATGCGCTACCCTTGTGCAGTGATGTTCATCTGCCTTGCATTTTGCTATGCTGGCTGCATCATTTTAGCTACGTATGTGTTTCTCGATGAGAACAGAAGCAAAGGTGTAGTACATTTCATTTACATCCTTGAGAGCATTTTTTGCCTTCATCTAAGGACAGGAAAAAAAGATGGAAAGAGAGGGAAGGACTGAGTAACCAGATAGAAATGCATGTTTTTTAATGTTTAATATTTAACATTTCTGGAGGAGGAGAAAAGCTAGGCTATTCCTCATAGCAGTATGAAGCAAAGTGGATGGATTCCAATCAGGTTAATCTATGAAATGAGTTAATAGGCTTCAACTGGGGGCTACGGCATTCAGTTTAAGTAGGACAATCTCTTTGTACTCTTCACACCTTTTGGGAGTGATTTGGAGCATCTTTGACCGTCTTTGCCAAAACTTACATTTATTGTCTTTTTTGTTGTGATCCAATGTTTGCTTCTTCAGAGTTGGAATGATACTAGCAGAGTCTCTCTTCAATGCCTGCCTACCCAGCAGGAGAAAATTGAGAAGTAGTAGGAGGAAATTTATGTATTACGTATGGATGAGGTGAGCTATATTCCAATCTAAGTTGCATTTGCTTAAATTTATAGAATTTTCCTCAAAGCTACTGGAAAGAGTCTACATAACACGGCTTTAAAGTGAGATGAGYGACTAGCATAGCAAACTATCGAAGAAAATGGGATAGAGTGTGCCTTATAGGGAAGAGAGGAGGTTAATGTCACAGTGTTAGGTTCTCTTTGTACTTTCACAGGTTTTTGAGGCTCTCCTCCAAATCTGGCTAGCTCTCACATCAAAAGCATTCTCAGATTGTCAGGTAAGAATGTGCCAAAGCCTAGAAATGTGAAACAGTAAATTGTGCCTAAGGAAACAAATTGATCTTCTTTTGTTGGGGAATGAAGTGCGCTCTCTCCTGCTTGATGAAATGGCTTTACAATGGAACAGCTGAAATGAAAAATCAGCCAGCCAACCATTGCTGTACATGTAAGCAGCCATGCAGTTCCCTCAGGGCCCTATATCCAGGAAGAGGAACTGTGGGAAGCACCATCTTCTCTTCACTTCCTCAGAGGACGCAAGTCTCTATGGATCCTTTTTCATGGTTTAGAGCTGAATCAGTTCTTTGTTTTSAGTTCAGTCAGTATATTGATGGAAGGACAATAGTTAGTGCACCTAGGGAGCACTGGCTATATAAAGGTTTGAAAAGGGAGATTGTCTTTTGTCATTTACTAGCTAGAGGACACAGGATGCACTATGCAAGAATATTGCAGTTGTATAACTGGAATTTTAGTCTCGACTCATGGACAGCTGGCAGGAGACAGAACAACCTCACTACCATTCCTGCTTTACTGGAGCTTATCTCTTCTGCTACACCTGGCAGATGGTGAAAGAAATACAAGCACGCACTTCTCCTCATACTGCCTCTCATGAAACAACTCTGAAGAAGCTCGTCAGTGTTTTCTTGTCTGTAGTACTACCAAGCAAGAAAATAAGAGTACAAATGTGACCTGAAACCTGCTGAAAGGTGACAGAGTGTGCATCCAGTCCTCAGTTGCTTTGAACTTTTTAAGCTTTGCATCGTGTCTGGATGGGATAAAACATGACCAAATGGATTGCATAGTGTTTCACACCTCCTTTGCATTGGTGCATATACCCTTGTAAGGGGCAGTTGAGGGAAGTGAGCTGCTATCTCCTTTGAAAAATCATATTTGGACATAGATGTTTAATGTATGAAGAAGGTCTATGTAGTTATACATTATGACACATTTCCCAGAGTACATGAATCCTACACACCACCTGCTATCGACACTGGAATAGGTTTCCTGTTTTGTCGCAGAATTAAACACTGTCTCATCTCCCATGTGTGCTTTAGTGTTAAATAAGATGCAGCTTGCCCAGGACAGGTGGGAGCTGTGCTGGTGGTAAAGAAGAACCTGGCCTCTTTTAATGAAATCCTAGATAATACTACACGTATTTATGGATGAC